CAAGGTCGTCGAGGTAAAATGTCTTTTATTGTGGGTTATTATTCACTACTTAATACTTAGAACCTATCAAACGATGTGCCTTCAAGCTTGGGGGGATCGAAGTTTTTACCTCGCTTCATCGGTCTATTCCGGGTAGTGTCATGCCAATGGAATGTGTACACTATCGACCTGCCAAGCTGGCTAAGAACCTATCCAACGTTCGACGTAGGGATCTTCAAGCCCTACCTTCGCGACAGCGCGATTCTCACTCTGGATGTATTGCAGTCTTATTCGAGTGCGGCTCTAGAGCCACGGCTTCGTCACAAGGGTCAAAGGTTAAACCATTGGCTGCGCCGCCTCAGCATCGCCCTCGGAATGACAGGAATAATCTGGAACGCCCGAAACAGCGCGAGACCGCTTAGCAGGAAGCCCTGCATCATCAGCGGAAACGGTGGAAGCAGCCGCCACAGGCAAGAGAGTTATCAGAGCCTTCTCCAATCGGTGGATTCGATTCTCGATTGCGTTTTTGGGCGATTCTTTATGACGCCATGCAAAGTAACAAACTTTGCGAAGGACGTGTCTGTTATCTTTCACGCGATGTCGTGTCGATGACACTCGATCGATCAGCTTGATCAGTCGCTGGCTCATCAAAAAGAGAAGCTTCTTCACCTTCGTTATACGAAGTTCAAAGGTGGGCGAAGACCGTGGACCAGCCACAGAAGAAGCTGAAACGACAGTTGCTCCGGCATCCTAACCCTCTTCTGATCGATACTACCACGCCAAAAACGTGGTGGCAAAGAGAAAAGTCCGCGGTCGGAGGAAGCTTCCGGTGAAATGGCTGGGTTATTTAGCAAGCGAGAATAAGTGGGAGCCTCGCACTCGTATACGTTGCGACTGCCCCAGTATCGTTTGCGCGTTCGATGCGGGTCCGAAGTCGGACCCCGATTAGAAAGCTGTCACTTTGTCTTTATTCTCTGCTCCTCTAGCCGTGAAGCCGACACATAACACAGCGCACTTCGCGAGCAACCTCGATATCGGAGTGGGCCTGATTTGAGGCTGTCAATTGCGCAAATTGAAAGCGCATATCGCGCATCTTCAACTGGTCACGAGCTGTGCTTGAGG